GCCGACATCCTAGACCAATAAATAAAAGGGCTTACAAATAGCTTTATATAGGGATACTGAATTTCCACTGGATTGGGCAACGATCCCACGATTATTGATTCCGGTTGGCGAGGACAATAATTCTTATCATATATTTGGCTATAAATCAAAGGCTGCAGCAAAGAAGATGGGGAGATGGTGGGTACAAAAGCATGGGGTTGGATGTGCTTTCGAGTCTCCACCGGCGCCTTTTTAAAGTATTTTTTCTTTTCCGGGTCATAGATCAGACCAGGCAATTCACCGATGAACCCCATTTACATTGTGATGCCTCGAATATAAATTTCACATCAGAATACCCTTCAACTTGGCACACCCTAGCTTGGTTTAATTCAATTCAAACCGATTTATTTTATTTAATTTTATTTTATTGTCCAATGATGATGCAACTAAAATTTCATCCTTGCACTAATGGAATTGGCCTTCAATTCCACATGCAGACGGAAGCCATGCTGAGGACTATGTGAATTTTTAATGGGATAAACTTGAATCGTCATTGCCCTTAAAGTTTCCCTTTGCAATTTTCCCTTCCAGTTTGGCGTCCGAATATGCAAACGGCAGCCATTTGAAATACGAGGGGGCCACCCCGGTGTCCCAATATTGTAATGCCAGCTGGACGGCTCTATCCTGCAAAAACAGAGATGCTGGAGTTGTGGTTGGGTTTAAGGCGCGCTTTGCTTTGCCCACATTCTGCATTCGTGAATATGTAAGGAATGGATCTTCTGTTGGGCAAAATGCCACGAGGTCGCGATCACGAACGACGGAGCTATAATTAGAAAACACAAAAACGTACTAGGATCCATCCTCAAAGTAGCACACCAATTGCTGGCCGGGATGCAAGGATGGGATCGTTGCGCCCATGGCATCCTTAAATATTGCGAGCTCTTCAAACGGGACAACCTACAAAAAAGACGCCAAGGTTCATACCAAGGCCGGCCACCAAAAAGGAACGGAAGAGTCGTCCGGATCGACGAAAACAATCCGGTCTCTCCGCCAAGAGGTCATATTGTTGCGTGGAAATAAAAAAGATTTCAATTAAATTTATTTATTGGAGATAAAATTAGGAATCAGGGGCGAGAACACCCCGATCAACAGTGCGAACATCAAACATGATCCAGAAATACACCACAGATAAAATCCCAATCCAAAGGACTTGAACGAAAATACAGTCAGGATTTGGCAATAAATAATAACCAGCGTACTTAAAAAGAAGCACATGGCAAGAAAAGTAAAAAAGATCGCCAAAATGTTAGCCTGGCCGATGGAACACATTTTGGCGACCACCGAAAAGATCATAGTAGCGACAAAGGCAAGGAAAAGAGTATAAAGGATGATGTATATATCATATGGAGCGGGGGCGGAAAGCTGGACAGGCAAAAATGAAAGAACCCCGCCAGTTGGGGGTGTCATTGGATTTGCGAGAGAAAGCCTCTTCTGTTTGAGGATTTCCTTTAAGCTTTCCTTAAAATTCATGAAAGCATCTTTTTCTGGAGAAGATTCGCTATCTTCGCCAAGCAAAGACCGATTTGGGGAGTCGCTGGAGTAGTATGTATGCGACCACAGGTTGATCTGATTTCCTGGAGGCCCGAAAATCAAAACGGGCTTGATATTTATCAAGGCCGAAATGTTGCTGGCAGGCTCTGTATTATTTCTAAAAATCCCATCAAAAAACAAGACGAGTTGGCAAGTGATCGCAATGACCAGGAACTGCGACATGAACTTGGAGGGGGAGAACATGGCAAACGGAAATATTTTGTAATTACAAAAGGTCCTTTAAATATCAAATTTCAACCAATTGAATTTTAAATCCGAACTATCGATCGCCAGCATCTTGAACGGGCATAGATCTGGCAATGCATCACAAAATAAAGTTTGTCATCACAATGATAAAAGCGCACCATTTTGAAGAGTTGTGATGCATAAACACCTGGTTGAATATTCCCCGATAAGCGTTTCATCGTGCGATGTCATTTTGGATGAACCGCAGGGCGGACAAACGGTCTTCGGCAGTGTACTAACTCTCATCAACACCTGCATCGGCAGCGGCCTGATTGCAATGCCCTACGCCATTTCCAAATTGGGGCTGGTCCATGGCTTTGTTTGGATGCTAATTTGCACACTGATTGTGATGTTTTCGCTGCATTGTTTATCCATTACCGCCTGTTCGCTTTCAGGCCGCCAAACAAGTTATTTTTCGGCGGCAACAAAATATGCCCCAAGGCTCCGTTTGTCTGTTGATTTGTCGATCATCATCCAAGGCTGGGGTGTATGTCTGTCATACCTGATTCTTGTTGGGAATTCGATCCCTTCGCTGTATTTGTTTGTGTATTCTTTGTTTTACGAGGCTTACGACGATATGCTGTTTTTTGGATTTGAGCCCAGACAATTTAGCATCGTCGCAACGATGCTTTTCGTTCTATTCCCATTGTGCTGTCTTAAAACCTTGCGCGCCCTCAAGTTCATGTCAATACTGGCAATCATGTGCGTCGTCTACATCCTGCTGATGATACTTGCTTATTTTGCCCTGTTTCTGCTTTATTCTGACGAATCGATTTTCCAACTGTTCCGGCTCAACGTTGTCGACAGACTGCCGATTTCGCTTTGGAAATGGTCGTTTGAAGGCATTCTAAGATCGATTCCGATATTTATTTTTGGCTTCACTTGCCACCACAACTTGTTCAATATTTTTAACGAGCTAAAGCAGCCAAGATCCATCGGCAAGCTGAACAAAATATCCGTCGTCAGCATTGCCAGTGTTGGGATGATTTATTTTTTGATAGCAGCAGCCGGGTATGTTACTTTGGGGGACGGGGTTGATAGCAAATTATTTGATTCCTACGAATATGGGGACGTCGAAAACCACTTGATTTCCGAGTTTTCAATCATTCTTGACCAATTTGATCCTCTTCGCGTTTCCTTATTCATGGGGCGCCTGTGTCTTTTGCTAATCGTCATCTCGGCCTTCCCCATTCAATTTTATCCGATAAAAATCTCGATTCATAATTTATGGACATATTTTATGCACGATGCCGACGCTCCCTCTGAGTCACGACTTTTGGCCCCATTGTCGGATCTCGATATGAGCTCTCCAGTCTTAAGTCCACTCATCGGAGATCAACATCCAAAAAGAGGAATGCGGTCGGACAGGTTCCACTATTGCGTCACGTCCATTTATTGCCTCATCTGCTTGATACTTGCTCTTTTTGTGACCGAATTTGGCGCTGTGCTATCGCTCGTTGGCGCCACCGGTGACAATTACATTGCACTGTTTTTTGGTCCATACATTTATTTGCTCATTTCAAAAGGAAATCCGCCCACATCAAGGTCTTACTGGAAAGAGGCTTGCTCTTATTTTTTGATTTGTTTTTCTATCCTTCTGGGGATGATGGTTTTAGCTATTTTATAAATTTTATTGTCACTATCATCTCGACCGACCGAAGATAGGTAATCTTACACCACCCGCTCCGTTCCCATTCGTTCAGCCGCGCACTAATTAAAGTAAGAGTGTGCTGTGTTTGCAGCTTGCTGCGAGAATGTTGTGATTGGGTTAGAGAAAAATTGCGGCGATGACGCCATTCCAATGTTATATGGCAGCTGCGGTGAGGTTGAATATAATCCCCCGTTCATTTGCGGCGATTGGCTCTGTACAGAAGAAGATGCTGCACTGATGGCGACTTCTTCACCTCGAAGATAATTGCAAATATATCTAATCCGCTCAACTAAATCGGCCTTTTTACCGCCTGACGCTTGATGGAATTCTCTAAGAAAGTTTTTCAGTTCGACCACAGTTACATTTGAATAATCAATTTCATCTGCCCTTTTAAGAAAGTCCTTTTTTGTGCTTTGGATGTCCCCAATGGAAACGGTTATTTGAAATGGAGATGTCTGGGCAAACGATCCGGACGAGTGGTTTGGGGAATACACTCCGTTGTTTGAGGGTGGAGGGAACGAGGCTGAAGATGCCAAATACGCGGCGGCCGCTGCTACTTGGTGTTGTGCGGAAAAATTCCGCACCGGAATGATCCGGTTATCATTTTTGTGGTGGAAGGGAAGCATCAGCGGTGTGGTTCTTTTGATCTCTGTTTGAACATTGGGCTTGTGCGAGGAAATCGGCACCTTGATGGTGGCTGCAGCTCCCTGTGCTCCCGTCATCACCGGGTGGTGTCCGCTGAATATTTGAGGTTGTCCAAAATATTGTTTTGAACCCATGTTTACATATGAAGCCGGTGTGTTATACGCCCTGTTAAGGTTGCCAGTAGAATGGCTATACAAAGGATATTGGTATTGCATAGAGGAGGTAGCATCGGCGCCATTCCAATTCTCCCTAAAATAGCCATTTAGGTCGGAATCAGAGCTCATCGGAGGTAGAATGAGATCGCCCATTTCTCCGATTGAGCTGTTTTCAAAGTATTCAACGGGGCGCGACTGGTTTTTGTTAATTTCAAGAGAAGATGTGTCTGTGATTGGGCGGATACAATCCTGAAGCGACGGGGGGTCATTGTCTGCTGGCACCGGTAGTTTGGAAATGAAATTGGGGTCGGATAGGTCAAAATTACAATCGAACGAGTCGAACATGCCCGGCATTAAAAAGGAAGAGGCCAACTGGTCGTCAAAAAGAAACTGGTCTGCCATGAACATGTAGTCGGTTGATGTGTCATGGCCGGAAAGTGTCGCCGGTGTTCCCTGAGGCAATGCATTTGAGGAAGCAATAGAAAACGATGCCATTCGAGAAGTTGATCTTGTTTAAATATCGACTAATGGATAGAAAAAAGCCCAACTGTAACGTAGCTGACGCCAAGAAAGATACTTATAATAGGTTCCATGTAAAGTTCGAATGATTGGAGTAATTTGAAAAAAAGGTGTCAAATTATTTCAGAGTTTTTCAAATGGCCGGCCAATCGAAGTGGTCCATATTGACTTGGTAACGCTACTGACTGTTACATTGCCAACATCGGCATCATTCCAAGAAATGGGCTTGCGCGCCGAAAATCAAACGCACACAAAGCCTGCATACTTACACAACGAGCGAGGCGTACGCGCGTGAGAACGGTGGTACGTCCGAATAGGTTGATAAAAATTGGGGAAATTGTTTCTGTTTTAAATTTACATTTACATTTAAATTTAAATTTAAATTTAAATGTAAATTTTCAACTTTATGGACTTTGTTTCGCTTCCGCTTGCTCTAGAACATGTAAACGAGGAGCAAGATAGGGGTGTTCTCTATATAAGCAGAATCCCGCCCAAAATGACGCCCGGAATTTTACGAGAACTATTAACGCCGTATGGAAAGCTCAGCAGAATCTTTCTTACGCCCAAGCAAGAGCATTCGACAAAAAAGAGACAATCTCGAGTAGATGACCGCAAAAAGCCATTCCACGGATCAGGGTTCGTCGAGGGATGGATTGAGTTCACCTACAAAAAAGATGCCAAGCGGGCGGCAGAGATTTTGAACTGCAATCCCATTGGCAGAACCGGGAGGAGCAAGAGATTCGCAGACGATCTATGGAATTTGAAATACTTATCAAAGTTCACATGGTCGCACCTTACAGACCAGTTGGCCTATAAAAAGGCAGTCCGAGAGCAACGGCTCAATGCCGAAATTTCGCAGTCGAAAAAGACAAACCAGCTCTATTTGCAAAAGGCGGAAAAGGCGCGGACAATCGATGCCATGGAGCGGAAGCGTGCGCAGAAGCAGCCCGCAGCAACCGAGCCAACGCCAAACGACACTGCTCAATCGACGTCATCCCTCATTTCGCAGATATCAAAAAGATTCCGACAACGCAAGCCGATCCTTTGTACAGATGATGGTGACAATAAAACCTAACCAAAAGTCGGCATGTTGAGTGGCAGTTAGTTTATTGCAGTGTTATACGGCAACAGGTTTAGCGATCGATGGGCCTCTAGGCTTTGATGGAGCGGAAAAGCTCGAGAGCAGCTTCTGCAGGAACAACGGGGCCATTGTATGCGGAGACAGGTCCACAACTGTTGAGTACAGACTTTAGGATGTCTTCGCCAGAAGGAATAGCGGCGACCCCGTCCCTGGGCCGTTTCCGGATTGCCTGCATGGCGGCCGTCTGCGCTGGCTGCGATAATGGCATTGCATCTGATGCAAATCCACCCCGATATGGAGCGGGCGTCCATGGGGCATTCTTTGTATTCGTGGTATCCTTCATGCCAACTGCGTCGTGCAGCGAATCGGCCAGTTCGTTTCGATCTAAAAAAAGCGTCCACCCGCCATCTAAAGAAAAGTGGAATCGATTACTTTCCGGAGCCTCCTCTGCAATGAGCCTATTGCAGAGTTCCTTTACGCGCACAAGATGCCCGTAATCCCGTTCGTGTCTAATCAGCATAAGCCAAAGTTCTTTGATTGCACTCTTGTTAGAGGCGAGAGAGCGCAAGGCGCGCTCGAAAAGGCTCTTGATATTGGACTCATCGAGTTTTATTAGCAGCAGCTTCATGTACGAGATGACGAACGTAGGTTCTTCCGAAAAAAGTTTCATTCCCAATTCGAAAATCTTGAATGCAATGCCAGGATCCTTGCCCACGAAAAACTCCATGTTAGCTGCAAGCGTAAAGATTTCATGCGTGCAATAAGGCAGCTTGCGCGCCCGAGCAAAGTATTGTCGCGCAAGAGGCAGTCCCTGAAATAAGAGAAGATACTCACCTGTGTTCGCCGTGCGAATCGAATGGCGTGTTTAAGTGTCATACAATGATCCCGCTTCAGGCCTGCCAATGAGATCGATGGAGCCACTAGTAGCCCCGGCCCTTCATCCACCGTGAAGGGCTGTGTATCAGTTCCTTTGGACGCAGACATGCCATCTTTAATTGGAGCCTCGCGCCGCTCAACTTCTGCAATGGCAAGTGAAAACCGACAAAGAAGCGATTCAAGTAAGGCTGTGCCCACTTTGACATCTTCACTCGTTTCGTATGCTTCAAGAAGCAGCGCGTGAAGTGGAACACTGAAAATAAAAGGCATCCACTTACCTGAGAGACAAATATGGCAGGGCGTGGTCGTGAAGGTCGGAAATGGCAGCCTCGCGGGCTCCAATGGTTCCACTTCCCACCAAATATTCAAAATAATGGAACCAAAGCTGTTCGGATGAGTATGCATGGGCGAGCGCACTACGAAATGCCCAGCAAATGCGCTCATATAGGCTATCGGCAGCCAAAGAAAGGTGGTTCTTCATTTCCCAATCAATCCATGCCAACAAAGCACCGAGCTATGAAGAAAATCCCTTTACAGCGTTACCTATGGCAAGCTATTGTTCTGATACCTGTTCGCGGTCGCGGGCATGTGGGAGTCCATATCCGACAATGATACCCCGAGTAATCTTGCCATCTTCGTGAAGGGCGCGCAGCTCCCGAGAAAGCGCCCGGGCATTCATGTAGGCGCCACTACGCTCCGCAAGGATCTTTCGTCCAGTAACCTTGTTGAGGCCGTTCTCAAAAAGGTCGTATTCACGCCAAATGCCCTCAACACCAATCATCGGGATGACGACGGCACGTTGGTAGAGTTTTCGCAATGCGTCCAACTGTAGCTGCTCTTCGAACTGATTTTCTGTCTACGCAAGATCACAAAAACGCCCTCACCTACGACAAGTCAGCAAAATGAAGCACCTTTTTCTCTTTGACGAAGCGGATGTAGCCCATCCACAGGTTGACGGCGTGAACGTCAAAGCCGACTTGCGAAACCGCCTGTTCATAAAGTGCCTCTACACTACTGGGCAACTCCTCAGCACCCGGCCTTTGCAACCATGTCAGATAATGGTCCCAGACCTGTGGGCTCAGCGTTGCCTGTGCAGCTGCCAGGAAGATAGAGGCGGTCTGCACAGACAGGGATTCCAATAAAACATCTGAAGCTCCTGACAAGGGCGTCTCTTCTGGCTTTCCCAAGCGTGCAAGCGCAAGTGCAATCCGCTGTGTCCAAACAAAAAGCGACGTAGGGTACTGACGCAGCGCTTCTGCGAAAATTTGATCCTGCAACTCGAAACAAGCAGATGAAGAATCCCTGCATAGCGGCAACAGATGTGTCCACAGCTCTGTATCATAGGCACGGTCGCCCTTAGCCAAGGCAAATAGCGCTGAGGGGGCTTCTTGCTCCAACATGACCATTGCAATTACAAATTAAATTTTAGAAACTCGAGTTGCCACTCCAGTGCCATCATGGACGAAGAGTGTGACCAAAACTATGATGATGTCATGGACTATGGCGCAAATATTCCCAAAGACGCTTCGCTTTTGAATAGCAATGTCGGCTTAAACACTAGCCATGCACCCATCAATAATATCCCCCATGTAGACGGCTCTCACCATGCTATGGCCGCAGCTCTAAGCGGCACCATTCAGCAACCTGGGCAGCTTTTTCGTGCTTCACCGCTCTCTGCACTCATACAACAACAGCAACATCGTGCATCTGCGCTGCGCCAGCAGCTACCATCCTCGCATTTTCTCCCACTCGGGGCTACTAAATACCCGACCGCTGACGGGGAACGGAGGCCTCCTCAAGTAACACCTACATCGACATCTATTCCGCCCGCAGAGGCAACCCGATTATCAGAAACCTCTCTTGAAGCCAAGTTTGAAGAGGACAAGGCATTACTTGAATTGCTTCGTCAGCTTGAGCATTTTACGCCCATCATCCCTGACCCTCTCATGGATATGGTCATGGCGCGCGCGGGTCTCGATTCTCCAGATGTCAAGCTCAAGCGGTTGCTTGCATTGATGGCACAAAAATTTATTACAGACGTGGCACAGGATGCCATGCAGTACTCGCGGATTAGGAGCAATGGCGTTGCTGCACCCGCAACCACTGCGCCTACATCCAAGGCCGACCGCAAAGCATCTAAAGAAAGGCGGTTCGTACTCACTCTTGAGGACCTCAACGCCGCGTTGCAGGACCATGGCGTCGTCTCTCGGCGGCCGCCATACTACCGCTAGCGAATAAAGAGAGATTTACTATGATCCCCAGCATTGTGAGACAAGGAATTTTATTGTGGAAATAAGTTATTCGATTTTAAACTCTGGAGAGAGCGTTGAAAGTACTGCAGTAGTGGTCACGGTAGAGGAGATACCATCGGCGGTGCCAATGTCACCTTTGATACCGTCTGACCCATCCTTTCTTGCACAAATTGGGTTGCTCTTTCCAACAAGCCCGGTCAAGCGAAGCTTTCCGCTGCTGGCATCTTCGAGAACATTTCTTGCGGCGGCTGGGAGATCTGGAATGCCGCCCTTCCGCATTCGCCCTGTAGAGCGAGCAAGAGCTCGCAGAAATGCTTCGGGTGAATCCGGCGCCATAGATCCCACAAGACCATAATGAGCCTGAAGGCTATCTGGAGAAATTTGGCCCCAGATCTCCTTACGCACAGCTTCAACAGGATCTGAAATGCGTTTAGAGCCATTCTTGCGAATATTGGTCTTTGCATGAGGAGGCTCAGACGCTGGCTTTAAATTAGAATCATTACAAAGGCTGCCCTCCACCGACATAGAAGTATACATCGGACATAAGTCGGTATCTGACCCTTTGTTAGCTGTAAGCGCGGACCGTTTGACCTTGGAGCTCGCACGTGCGGCCATGGCTTCTGCTATGACAGCATCACGGAACGGAAGCTCTTTTGGGATGCCAGGATCCTTTCTTCGCCCAGGTTTTGATTTTGAAGAAGATCGGCGATGGTGTTCGTGAACCTTTCGTGTAACTTTAGCACGATGTGCAGTTGTGAGACGCTTGGAGGCTCGCCGTTGCTTCACCATTGAAAACAATTTTTTTATTTAATTTAAATTTTAACTTGGCCATGGAGGCTGTGCTTACCCTTTACCAGCTGCTTCAAAAGTAAATTGCAGAAATCTGCTAGCGACATTGAGAACATTTGTAAAGAATATGGCTGCCTTCAATGCAAATAGCTATACATACTTGAAATCATATCGATATAGCTTTTCGCTGCTTTTTTCAAGGCGAAAAATCAGCCGTGGATCGCTAAAAGAAAAGACCACTTTGGCGAGGAAATGGGAATCTCCTTGCTTGATTATAGATATTTTGTAAAATTCTTCCGCAAGTAAATTATCATCTTGATCGCAACCAGAGAATATGTAAATTGTGCACGTAATCCAGTAAAGGTATTATATTCCATTGATCAAGAAAGTATTTTCCGTAAGCCACTTTGTAAGAGCAGACTTTATGGTGTCATGAAGTGAGCTGGCACAGTAGAAGACCATTCTCAACGCGATTTTGATAAATTATATCTATTATGGTGCATCATGGTGTTATAAAGCTTTACCGCAAAGAGAAAATTGTTTATCTTGCACGAGATAAAAATTTCAGACTAACCGACCAAATACAAAAGATGAACTATCGTTCAAAGGAGAAGAGTTCTCTTGAAAGTCCCATTGAGATCATGGTGATTTGTTGTTTAAAAAATTAATTTAAAATCAACTCTGCTGCAAATTAAAGAATAGTGTGTCTACTGAACTTGTCACAATAATTTTACTGAATTACTTGGATGATGATGATGATGATGCGGCGGCAAAGGGGTTCAGTGCAATCATAGCCTTTTTGTTCTTAAGTGGATTATGCTTAAGAGGTGCCTTGGAGGTTCTCTTTGGATATATTGGTCTAAGAACAGACTGGATTTCCTCTGAATTGATAATGCGCGAGATATCTGGATTTGAAATCACAGGCTCAGGGAGCGAGTAGTTTTTCTTGGATTCAGATGTTTCTCCGCCGACACCATAGATTGCGTCAAGCTTAGAGAAGGCAGATTGGGTCCAAATAACAAATCTACCGAGATGGCCACCAGGTGCCAACTTTAGGAGATTCAAAGCGGTCACTGGGAGCAGCTCAACGCCAGGAATGCTTCTGAAGGCTTTGGTGATGCCCTGGTCCTTTGAATAAACAACAAGGGGGCCTTTTCGCATTCTGAAGCGACGGTTACGCATTTTGCCTTTTCCAGCACGAAGTCTTTTTGAATCAGAAACTTTCTCAACGTCTGCAAATGCGTTTACAGCCTTAAGAAAAGCAACTGCGGCCTTGGTAGTCGAGATAGACTCGAGAATATCTGACACAACAAGCGGAACTTCGCGAATGCTCTCAATACGATGCCCGCGAGCCATCACAAGCGAGGGAACAGCAGAAGCTGCAATCGCTGAAACAACGGCATAACGACGTTGATTGATGTTTACACAACGGTGCCAGCGGCGCCATATTTTGGTGGGTGCAAACATTCTTCCGCCTCGACACATGTTTCCGTACGCACCCTGACCAGCACGATGAGTACCTCCTCCCGAAACACGCGGAATACGCGAGACTGCACGACCAGTTCCCCAAGAAATAGCAGAGGTCTGGTGGCCAGCAATTCGGGAGACAGCGTATGGCTGTCTGCTGTTTTTGGCCAGATTGGTATGAACAAAGTTTACCACATCTGGGCGAATCGGGCATTTGAAGACTTGTGGAAGAGGAACCGACGCAATGACGGTCTTTCCGTCAACCTCAGAATAAGAGTGGACCAATGGTCTTGCAATAGAAGCAGTCTACAAATAAATTGGAATCGGATAGAAAAAGTTGAAATAAACATTCAATGTCAAAAGACTAAATGTATGACAGATGCAAAAACAGAGAATGGGAAACAAGAACCGGCCTCGGCAACCTACCATTTGGAGATTAATAAATTTAATTTAAATTTAAATTTTACGTTGAATTCACTAAAGTCCCCACAATACTGGCCAACCCATAAAATTTCACGTTTTGCACAAACAAGTTCAATCCGAAAACTTGTGTTTTTATTAATAAGGTATTAAAGCCTAAACACTTTGCAAATATCGCGGTCTATGCTTAAAATGGGAAAAGAAGGGGGCTTCAACACCCGAACTTCCGAATGCCCATTAAAATAGCCTTCTAAAAATAGGCTTGCTGGAATTTTATTGGCGCAAAAGTTATTAGACACCGGTCCGGATGGCCTTATTGAGGCCAAAAATTGATCGTGATAATGGAAAAATAAATATTAAAAGTCAGCCTTTTCATTGCATAATAAGTATCTTGAATATTATTTTCTATATGCAGAGATTGGTAATAAAAGAGGGTGCGCTGCATCTATTATGAGTCTAAATCGATATGTGCATTCCAAAGTCGTCGGATGATGATTAATAAAACACTATGTCTATCAATTACCAGAGTAAACTTCAAACCTCTTAAAGTTAAAAGTAAATTTAGGATCTTAAAGACTCGATTTTAATCAAAAAACGTCATGCATAAGAAGTGCCAATAGTTTTAATCGAAATTCGATTAAGAGGGCATGCGAACTAACTGGCTTTCGAAATAATTACAAGCATCTGATTGGATGAAATTTAATTTGTCTTAATTTAAGGCTAGATGAAAAAAGATTTTCCATTTCCAAACAGGAAACCGATGCAATAATTGTTGTCGTTGGATAGCCAATTTAGTGCGCTACTTTTAGGAAAATTTATTTTTTGGAAATTTTTCTAGGGTTCATTAAACCAGCCGATTTGTGGCGGATAATAAGTTTGATACCAAGCATGACGACCTGATGAGTAATCTTCGGAGTTTCATTGGCTATGTGAGCAACTATTTAATTTAATATTCCTATTGGATGCAAAATTTCCGGTGCAAAACAGTCTATAAAATGAACCCTAGAAAAA